ACATTAGAGAGAGAAGCTTCACAAATGGACAGAGCTGGAGCGATAGATTTAAAAGGGTGGGGTGTGTATGCAAGTTTTATATTGCATCTGTGTTATAGCCACACTAATCCAATAAGACAGGACCCTGTTGGTCAATTAACCTTGGTATTATATCTTGTTATGCCTACGAGTCCATGCCCTTTTCCCCGCTGTGGCTCGTTTAAGGAAACAATACATCTGCAGCAGGGAGCATCATCCAGCGTTCTGCAACAATGACTACCTATGCAATAGGTGGAAGCTGATTAAAATGAACCCTGCACTCAGAGTACCTTTACATGCGATTTAATTTAAAATCAGCAAGTCTACATCTTTGTAATTTGGTCAAATTAGGAAATGCTTTTCTTTCCTGCCTTTTATTCAGTTTTCTACAAGAAAATTCTGATCCACTAACATAAAACAAGCATTGATGGGTGCCAGACTATTATTGTTTACTCTTCAGAATTATTTGATGACTCTAGATGTCTTTGGCTTTCCTTATTTCTGCCAAACCCCAGAACAAGCTGAACCCCACCAGTTGGCAGGATTGGTCCCTCAGGTATCTTATGAAACTATTTTTGAAGGCTGTCATATTATCAGCACATATCCTGATATCAAAGATATAGCATTTGCCAGCACACACAATAACAAGATAAGCCGAGGCATGTCTGAGAGTGAGAGTTGCATATCAGCTTACATAATGAAACAGGAGCTACTTTGCTAAACAGGTAAGAAAACAGCTGAAACAACAAACCTGTTTCACCATTCACCAGGGAAGAACAGATGAAATCAGGAACAATCAGAACAAGAGGGAAGACATGCTAGCTGCTTTTGATGTGATGAAGATGGTGATGAATCACATTTTCTTTAACATCCAATGGATTGCAGGGTGCATGTGCCCTGTTTTCCTGGTGAACACCTGGCACCAGGATGCACTATGGGAAGACGTCAAGCCAGCAGAGGCGGTATGGCACTTTGGGCAATATTTTTCTGGGAAACCTTGGGTCCTTCCATCCACATGGATGTTACTTTGATGTGTACCACCTCCCTAAGCCATTTCACAGACCATGGACACCCTTTCATGGAAAGGTTATTATTAAGGAGTTTGAGGTGTTGACTTGGGCACCAAAGATCTCAATCCAATCAAGCATCTGTGGGATGAGCTGGACAAACACGTTTGGTCTATGGAGGCCTCACCTCACAACTTACAGGACTTAACGCATCTGTTGCTAACATCTTGATGCTAGGTACCACAGCACAACTTCAAATGTCTAGTGGAGCCTTTACGGGTCAGGACTGCTTTGGCAGCAAAAGAAAGACCAACACAATATTAGGCAGGTGGTCTTGATGTGACACCTGATCAGTTCAGATTTTGTTAGGATTCAGTAACTTTGAGAACATGTCCAATGCTATTAATTCAGCATTATATTCTCATCAAAATGGCATTGGAGCTGTGGTTACTGAATGCTACTAAAATAAAAAAAAATCACCATTTGAGTGAGGGTTTGTGAATGTTTAATTGCCTTTCATAGCAACAAAGCTTCAGCACAGAGACTCATAAAATACATTTGAGCTCTAAATGTCGCCCTCATCACTACCTTGATCTCTCGGGGTAATGATCCAGAAACTTTCTCAGATATGTGCATATGTGAGAATACAGAGGATCTGTTTCCCAGAGAGCTGATGTTCTCAGAGAAAGAGGCTGCTGGTGGTTGAGCACTGATCAGGCTGTGGTTGGACCAGCCCTGATGGGCAAACTTTTGTAAAGCGAGGGCAGAGAGTAGGCAGCGAGGATTGTTGCCAGAGCAGTAGGGAGGCAGAGATGAATAGCTCCGCTGATCCACCACCGTAATCCCCTTTAATAAACTCTGCTGTCTGTTGAATGTGAGCTGCCACGGAGTCAAAGAAGTTGAGACAGTTTAAAACATTTTCTTTAGCCTCCTATCAGATTACAGCATGATGTATTTCAGTCTTGTAGTCTTTTAGCTGCAGCCATGAGCTTTATGACACTTTTCTCTATTAGGCTCAAACATAGAGACAAAGTTGTGCTATCACAGAAGGCTTTTAGTCAAAGAGTCAGCTCAAGAGAGTGCACAAGCTCTTCAGTTCAACACAGTTGTATTTACAGAGCGCCTATTTACAGCATCAGTCACCTTAAGTTACTTTTTACTGAAAAATAAAGACACTAAAATATTATATTATTCTTATGGTAACCAGGGAAATGTTAAATAAGACATCTTGATTTTTTGTACCTGCTAACAATGTAAGTGTTTTTTAGATGAAATTAAGACTGTCTAAAAGGAGAATAAAAGAAAAGAAAAAATATGATCTTTATTATTAATTTTCCTGAAATGTCAGTCGCTTGTCTGTGTTATTTGGACTAATAGCTTGGTGGAGCCAGCAGCCATGGATCAAACAGCCTCTGTGTTCAGAGGTTAATTGTTATCAGGAAGTAGAGGCTTGGGTGTTTAGAAAACCTACAAAGAAATTCAGTGCACTGGGTTCCTTGGAGGCAGCTGCTGTGTTCAATCAGAAGTCGGAGTGTGGTTTAATGTGTGTTTGGACGTGTGTGCTCATATTTATGAGGATGTGAAGGCTTGATCATTTGGAAAAACTGTAGCTCAGATGGGTATTTTTGCAAAAGGACTGGGGAAAGAAAGGAAAGCTTTGCAATCTATGAGTTATTTGCACTGGAGGAAGTTAAACTACAGCAAAGCTACTCAACGGATTCTAGTTTTCTTAAAGCTACTCAAAGTACCTTCAATTGGCAATACACGTGTTCTGGTTAATACTGCTGCACTGCACCTAGACATATAAGATTTAAACTGAGGAGGTTAGTAAAATTAAATTACTGTGTGGTAGCTTTGACTCATTGGTCTGACCATGCTGATTACATGCCTCCAAAATGGCTAAAACAATTTTCTCTTTCCAGAAAATGCCCTGCATGTTCCCATTTTGTCCTGATTGATGTTGTGAGCTGATTGCTCTGTCACATCTGGAGTACTGCCCAATTATTTGATCATGTGCTGCTGAAAACATCTACAAAAAACATCATCTTGTGTAGCACAAGCAGCCAGGGTAGTTCTAATGGATGCTAGTGTTTTGAATATGCATAAACAGCAATTCTGGGTTACTGCGAATGATAAGTAATGGGAAGTCCTCTGCTGTTCATGAGCACTGTTTAGGTGAAAGTTACACTTGGCCTTTGGAAACAGTTCAGCCATGAACAATAATAATAATGTCAAAATCTAATAATAGAATCCTAATAACTAAACATGTAAATCCCTTCTTAAGTTGGCAGTCCATTTAACCCTGTAATACCAAGTGTATCATATTTAAAACGCGAGTTTTTTCCCCCCAGATTTCTACATCATCACTGTGATTTTTTAAAATCGTTAACGTCTCATACGACATGTCAGTGCTGCTTCTGTCCAGCATTGCTGTGTGTGTTTCAATGCCCCCACCATCCACCGGTAAGCTCCAGGGAAATACTTAGTTACCACCAGTGTTGGTCAAGTTACTTGAAAAAAGTAATCAGTATTTAATTACTGATTACTTCCCCTAAAAAGTAATCCTGTTACTTTACGGATTACTTATTTTCAAAAGGAATTAATTACTTAGTTACTTAGTTACTTTTTAAAAACACGATTTACAACCTGAATAGGTGATAAAGTGATAGATCTTTCAGCCCAATTCTACTTTTTCTGCATAATCCGTCATACAAAATGTAATCAAATGAAAAAGTCTCTTTTTTTAAACTTGTTTTATTAGTTTTAATCTTTTAACTTTATGTATCAAGCAAAAATTTAATTATATGCAACATTCTCTGACTTGAATAAATTAGTTTAACATTTAAACCTTTTTTCTGCACATTCCAGCACATAAAATAATTTTTTGTGTGTGTTTACACTCACTCTTTCAAATAGATGCAAGTGAAACACAGCAGAAAATAAATAAAGTCAAAGACTCAGTGGTCCTGTTGCTCTATTTTCACCTGTAAAGCAGGAGTAGGGTAGGCGGAGGTTTACCCTGGTGCAGGTGTGCCGCAGCAGTCAGTTGAAGAATCCACGAGTTTCTCTGTGAATTTCCCATTACGTCGTAGCGCACTCGGTGCTTGCTTGGAAGTTAAGGGGTTTTTTTCGCTGTAAAAAGACGTTTTCTTCCTACGCACAACGGACACCTATGTTTTTGTCAAGTAAGGTCAGTACTTCCACGCACTCGATATATTATCCATTGTTGATCTGCACACAGCTGTTGTCAGGAACATCACACTCGCTTACGTCATTGTCATGAGACATTCTCGCAAAAATAAATCACGGTTTTAGTAACGCAGCGTTCCTACGGGAAAGTAACGGTAATCTAATTACCGTTTTTGCAATAGTAATCCCTTACTTTACTCGTTACTTGAAAAAAGTAATCGGATTACAGTAACGCGTTACTGCCCATGTCTGGTTACCACTTCTCAATTTATATGTCAGATATTTGCAGGAATGATATGTTTAAAGCCCAGAGACACAACTCTGTATTCTGCTGCTATAATAAATCAACATCTGTCTGAACTGTGCAACTCTGCAAAAACCAGCAATTTGTTAACAAATGGTAGAATTTAATGTACAAATACATTAAATTCTACCATTATTAAGAAAAAGCACATACCAACTTTTTCAAATGTTTGTTAAAAAAGAGCAATAATCAATACACTGTAAACCCCAACAGTCTACCTGACTTATAAAGTTTGTGGATATAACAATTAAAATTCCTCACAAAGTTGAAACAACTTAAAACTTTTCTGTTCGGTTAACGATTCAAACAGTTATAATTGTACATGGCTTAGAAGTTAAGAGTAAATACTGCTTTCTTAATTATGATTTTTGAGTAAATGTTTTTTTCCGAGCTCCGCATGTGGACGTCATGACGTCATGACGTCTTCTCTCTAACCTGAACGACATTGACAGAAAATTCTGTTCAATATGGCTGCCCTTCTCGAGCGACTGGAGAACACATTTGGAGAAACTTGTAAGTAAAACTGAACCTTCGTTATGTTTATTTTTTCCGTAAAAAAGCAAGTATATTAATATGTTGCAGCCAATAACTTGTTTTCGAATGCGCTGTTGTGTTAAAAAGCACAGACCCAGGTGGTGAATAGTTGTTCGCGGTTGTTCGCGCTCTTTTTCAAACATAGATTATGTCGTCAGTTTTACAGTTTTAACCGATTAAAACACAGTTTTACGAAGAATCACACATAAAGAAAGGGTCTTAGTGATATTTTAACGACCCCTTGCCAACGCAAGAAAGTTGGCGTTTTTACAACAGCAGCCTCATTGTTCGGCAGGTTTTTTTTTTTTCTTCTCATTAGCATCATTCAAAAGTGACTTAGCTAGCAGTGGCAACTTCTATCTAAAACAATTGAAATATAGCAAGGTGTTGTATATTTAGTGTGCTGATAAGGTTTTCAATATTTTTATTTTTTCTTCCAAGGCTGAAGGCCAAAGACAAAAAGACAGAAGAAAAAAAAATTCAGACTGCAATTAATTTCAGGTGGAGACAGTAAACACAGGTGAGTTGAAAGATCTATTGAAGAAACCATTCATTAAGTCCCTTAAGGTGAAGATTTCATATATTGATAATGATAAAATTAACACAAATTAAAGGTTTCACTGATAAACACAATTTTTCCTTGCTTTGAACCCCATGTTCTATATAGATCACAGCTCTGATCTGGAGAACACTATTTTAAAATACTGTGTAGGGTTTTTGTCAAATGATTAAGAAACATACTCTCTGTCACAAGAGACAGAAAGGTTGTGTCTTAAAAGAAAAGTCTCCAAAATTTAGTAGAGTCTGATGTCATGCAGTTTCATAAACATGTATTCTCCCCAAAGAATGACACCTGAAAACTTTGTGTTAAATGAACTTTTCTTTTCCCTTTTTAGGAGGCGCCTGATATCAACGTGAAACGCACTGCAGTACTTCGTGCCCTTCCTGTATACCTGCGGGAGGAGGACCCAGAATTCTTTTAGACATGTAATGTAAGTGTATTTTTGCATTACTTAAATTCTGCCAGTAAGATAAAATGCTATGGATTTTTTTAAATACAATTTAATACCCTAGCAGCTACCAAATTCTACAAACAAAATACCCTCTCTGTAGAAAACCCACACACACACAGGTCAGGAGCAGGGCACAGGCGTATCACAGCACTATGGCTATGCTGCAGGTGGCCCAAAAACCAGGCTGAAGTCAAGATTTAGTTTCTTTTTGAGATAAAGTCATGAAATAAAAAATTACTTTTTTTTTTAGAAAAATAATAAAAATACAAATTATGTAATGCAAGAAGCTAACACGTTAATGTACATTTTTCAAAAAAAGTAGAGTACCCTAACTCGTTACAAAGTAACCCACTACAATGCTGAATGTTTTGCTAGATTACAGGTCATGCTTGTCACATTCTCTCAAACCAACCTTACTTATTTAATTGGGGCGATCGTGGCTCAAGACTTGGGAGTTCGCCTTGTAATCAGAAGGTTGCCGGTTCGAGCCCTGGCTCCGACAGTCTCGGTCGTTGTGTCCTTGGGCAAGACACTTCACCCGTTGCCTACTGGTGGTGGTCAGAGGGCCCGCTGGTGCCAGTGTCCGGCAGCCTCGCCTCTGTCAGTGCGCCCCAGGGTGGCTGTGGCTACAATGTAGCTGCCATCACCAGTGTGTGAATGGGTGTGAATGTCTGGATGACTGAATGTGTAAAGCGCTATACAAATACAGGCCATTTACCATTGATACTGTGTCTATTCCAGGCGGACGCATTGGATGAGTTGACCCTCATTGACACTCCAGTTGCCCTTCTCACAGTGGTTACCGACGGCGCTTCCCAGTCCAGTCCATTTTACTTCCTCAAGCATGGCTGTTTTGGTGAAAGGCGACTAGGTGATGCGTGATATTCCCAGATTTGCAAATGCATTTGCTTTATTGTTTGGCTTGATCTATGCTCTGCATTTAGACTACCCCAGGAAGCTGGTTCACACATTTGCCTTAGTCCAAAATATCTTCATGGGGCTTGATGACGGCAAACCCCTGAAACCCCTGTCTACATGCTCTTAAGGAATATAAGGCAATGTTTGTTAGGACACGCACTCTGTTACTGAGCACTTTGTTTGAAGCACTTTAAGCACTTTAAGTTTACTACAGGCTTTGGGTGGATTTAACTCCATCAGTTTACCTAATTTTCCTATACTTGACTGCCTTATCTGGTTATTTGGAAGCTGATCATCTTTGTACCCATTTTAAAAAATTGTTTTTCATTTCTATTTAAAAAAAAGTGATTAGTATTTGACTTTTTGTTTTGCATTTTGTGTATTTTGAGAAAGATGCAATTAGGACTGATGTCGTCCTTTGTGAGTTTATAAAAAGATAAATGTTCTACACAGAATTTATAATGCTCACTTTATGGTGCCGATGTCCATGTTAGTTGTTTTATAAAAACATTTGTGATGTTTTTAAATTTTCATGAAAAAATGTTAAATAAACAAAATGTAAAGTAACTGAATTTCCGTACTTTTTTTTTTTTTTAGTAGTCTACACTCACAACATATCTTTTAATTAATAATCAGATAATTTGAGTTTAGGTTGTAATATAATTGCATTGTGTTGCATCAAAATAATAAACTACAAGAAACACAAAAATATTGAAATTAAAGTATACAGTCTTTGAGTAAAGCTCAATTAATAAAATATAAAATATAATTTAAAATTTTTAGGTTAACAATAAATACAAATTTTGAGTACCCCATACTTAGAAGATATGAGTTTTTGTACTTAAATCTTTTGAGGTAATCAGTTTCCACAAAAGTTTTAAGTTCAGTCAACTTGTTCGGGTTTACAGTGTATTTAAAACTAATTGACATTTTAAACATTCAGTTTACCTCCTCTAGTTCCAATTTTCTGATGCATTAATATACCAAAATATGTTTCACAAGTGTATTTCCAAGATTTTTAAGCCTGTCCTCAACATAAGAATCTCCCTCTGGGCTATCACGGTCAGTTTTAACACCCTCACATGCATGTGTGTTCTTAGATTTGTGTCTGACGTCTTTAGAACAGAGAGTGTATTTACCCTAGGCCTGGATTGCTCACGAGTAACAACATTATTTTTGAACAACTCAGCGTCATGTATTTACTCAAGTAATGCCATGGCGGAGGTTTATCCAGGATAACGCTGTCACTGTGCCTTAACACAAAGGCCAATTGTGTGGTGGTGGCGGCCTGACGAATGGGTACACTTGCACATCAGTATGGATGAAAGGGAAAGGGGGCGGGCTTGTCAATAGGGGTTGAAAAAGGCATTGATAAACAATACATATGTCTTCTTCATTTATTGAATTTAAGTGTAAAATGAACAGCTAATAATAAAAAAAGATGAAAAAGTGTTTAAGCTACTTGATTCTAAAAAATATACCAGCAGCAGGTAAAGTTTAATCAGATGTTTGCCACTCTACTTTATTATTCATTTGTCATGGTATTTAGTATGTTTATCCAGGAAAAATAAAGGTTGTGGCAGGATTTGAATCTTTTCTTGGTTTTACATTTTATTTTATTGCTTCTTCTTCTTCTGATCAAACAAAACAACCAATCTGAAGACAGACTACTGAGTTAGCAGATTAATTGAGTAATAATAAATACACTGAAACAATATTATCTTAAAACATCCTGTAAATATCTTAAATTGCTTAAATTCACAAACATTTACAAAGATTTTGCTTAAAGAGATGGGCCAAGACAATATTGTTTCCACAGAGAATTCAACATGTTCGGCCAGTGAGACCATTATTACCACGTGACCACCTTTATTAAAAGCATGCAGGTCTTACACTGGGCTATAATCCCCAAAGAAGATCTTCTGAAGCCACAGCACTGAGGCTGTGCTGAGCACGCAGCAAGCCGGCTTTCTCCAGACAGTATCGATATTCCACAGAGAGAGAAAAATACCCTCACTGCTTTTGACTGGAGGTGAGAAAAAACAGCAGTAAGACCCTGGTCTGATTTTGGTGAACTTTTCATTTTGCCTGAGGTAAACCAAAGTTGGTATAATTTACTTCTTCAAAAAAATGATATGAATACGAGTTATCTGCTCCACAACCTAATGAGACATGAGGAAGCTGTCAGGCTTCAGTTGTGTTGGAACTGCAGTGGGTTTCGGTGACAGACGTTTAAAGCCGAGCCAGGGGAGATATAAACCTCAGCCAATCGCAACACTGAATAGCGTTGATCCCAATCATTCACCCACCGCACCACAAATGTGTTTTCATTTTGCATCAGCGTCTCATTTAAGCCCACATGGAGCTAAATCCTCTGTAGTTTTAGCCATGAGAAATATTTGAATATAAATTATAGCTTTTATTATTTTTTCACACAAATATGCTGCCTTTAACAAATAAATGTTCCTCCGTAGAAGGTGACATTTTTCATGCACTATTAAATCTCTGCAATGTGGGAATATGACTACTCCCGTTTGTGTCGGTGGTGATGAAGCAGGGCTTCTCTTCCAAAGAAGAGGATATTACTTCCACGTGAGCCCGTGGATATGTCTATATATAGATTTCTTCTGAATGCAAACACGATCAGAAAATGAAACACAATGATAACTGTTTCCCTAAAACTTTATGCTCCAAAATTTTCCAGGAAAAAAAGAAAAAGAAAACACATTTAAATGTGAAAGAAGAGGTTTGGTGATAAAAGAAGAAGAGAAGGAGGTATTACGTAGAAAGAAATAGAGTTCTGAATGAATTTTCTACTGAGGCAGAAAAGCAGAAACTCTAACCGCAAATAATAAAGGCTGCTACGCATAATTTGGTGATGCATCGTGTCAAACGCTTGAATTATTGTTGCCAGATGTTTATTCCACTCTTCAAATTTGATTATGCCTTTCTCCTTTTTGGGCAATTCAGTGTTAAATGTTAAATGCTGTTGTTAGTACTTTGACTCAGAAGCGCCACAAAAACAAATGAATAAGTAAACAATCAGGCCGCCTGGTTCACTTGAAGTTGTCGTCAAGATCATCGGTGACACTGGCTGCTTTTTGTGCGTCACCAGCAAATGCTCACTCACAACCACTGCTGAATCATTTTTTAGTCATGCTTACAGCACAGTCTTACTGAATGCACTCAGATGTTTGTATTTTAAACAATAAAAGTCATTATAGGTACTAACTGCGAAAACAGAATTTTACTTATTGTGTTTTTTACAAAAAACTTTTTATACTATTTTATCGATACAGATTGCTGTTAGGACAATTTGTTACTTCTTATGGCATCTGTCATTTCTGACAGAAATTGCGCATCGCATGTAGGAGTCAGTAATTCTAACAGTAGGAGTATTTGAGTAATCTATCCATTAAACCCAGTGCTTTAAGAAGATACATTTAGTGTCACAACACAGAACTTCGTTTTTCACTGATTGACGGTTGTTTAATTGCCCATTTAAAATCTTGTGTTATGGTTGAAAAATATTTCCAAAAAGAAAACTTTCACTGACGTTTGCAACGTCATGAGGTGCGACCATCTGCTTGATGTCCTTAATGAACATCTGCTGGAATTTCCAACAGGTGGAAGCCTGTTTACAACATTTCTTTTTTTTGTTTTGTTTTTGGACATCCTTTTATTAGTTACAACAGAACTGCTGAAATGATCTACCATGCTGTACAAAATGCAAACTAAGGTAAGGTTGTACTTGCAACCTTACACTTGTTTTAGTGGTGGGCTTTCAGGCTTTTCTAGTTAAGGTTTATTCTTACTTACAGGTAGGTGTTTTAGTGATGTCACTGGCACGTAATAGTAATCTATGAGGATGACCTCTGGAGTACCTTAGGGGTCTGTCCTTAGACCTCTTCTGTTCTGTTTGTACCTGTTAGCCCCGAAGCATGACATCCACAGTCATACTGTGAGTTTTCACTTGTATGTGGACGACAGAAAGTATCTCTTTGACAGTCCTGAACTTAATGCACTGAACGACTGAATCCAAGATTTTAAATGGTTGGTGCCACAGAATTTCCTGCAGATAAATGTGGATAAGATGACCATAATCATTATGTGGCTTGATGCATTTATCAGACTCACTACAACAGACCCGAGGTCCTCATCTTTAATGTTGGGTCAATATTTAAAAAAAGAAAAGAAAACTCAGCATCATTTGTGATAACAACTTCAGCCTGAATAAGCAGGTCAATTCAGTTGCTCAATCTTGGAGACTTTGATTCATAATTTTATACGAAAGAACGTTTACCTCTTTTAAAGATATATGCATGTATATTTTGGTGAGCTTGCTGTCATCTTTCAAGTCCATCTTAAAGACATGGGGACGGTTGTGGCTCAAGAGGGTAGAGTGGGCTGTTTATCAACTGAAAAGTTGCGAGTTCGACGACTGGCTCCTCCATACTACATGTTGAAGTGTCCTTGAGGAAGATGCTTAACCCTGAGATGCCCCTGATGCGTCCATCACAGTGTGAGTCAATGAATATTAGGTTGAAAAGGGGAAAAAACACTTATCGTAATTGTCGGGCTATAAGCCGCTACTTTTTCCACAAGCTTTGAACCCTTTTAGTCAGGTGCGGCTTTTCTATGGATTGTCCCTGATTTTTGTCATATCGTAAGACGATTTGTTTTGTTTGTTCCGCTGTTGTACGGCACTACGTTGCCTGGCGGAAGGGCATGTGATCAGACACACAGTATCGGTGTTCAAGAGTGGTATGTTGGTCACATGTCCATCCGCCAGGCAACATAGTGCCGTACAAGTAGCACGAAAAACAAACTTCAAAGTAGCGCTACGCGTTCAGCGGGAGTCGTGGATGGTGTGCAGCAATAAACTTGCGAAAAGCAAGTTATGCTCAACTCCACCGGTGGAATCTGACAGCGTGGAAAAGTGTGAAAACATCCATCCATCCACCTGAGCCTAAAAGGTAGTCTGAATCTATTTTTCTGGTGTGCTGTAGGTTATTGTTATGTACTACATTTGTTACTCGTTTATGAAGCACAGCACATGTTTCGTACTTGTAATTACCGCTACTTGTACATATACCTAAAAAGTTGTGCAAATATGTACCCATAACTTATTTTTCAAAATATTAATAAAAGTGATGTGTCTCCAAACAGCCATCTCTTTCCTGACAATTTGCTTTGTGCATATTCTCTTACATATGATAAGTCAACATTGAAACACCTGCGGCTTTTAGTCAGGTGCGGCTAATGTATGTACAAAACAGGATTTTCCCCTGATTTTAGCTTGTGCGGCTAATATTCAGGTGCGCTTTGTAGTCCGGGAAATACGTTATATGAATATGTGTAAATTAGTGAATGAGGCTTTGAGTGTTTAACTTGAGTAAAAAAATTGCTATGCAAATACTATTTACATATTTTTACAATTAGTCCTTTTCTGTCCCCTACTTTGAGTTATTTCTATGTTATCATTTTTTTCGTGATCATTTTTATTTAAGTTAAATATATATTTGCTTTTAATAAAGTTGTTTTCCATTTTAAATTTCAAACATTCCTCACTTTAATCTCCGGTGTTCCTATAGCTCATTTTATTTAATTTTAATCTCTTTTTAATGTTGAGAAACACTGTAACTCTGATTTTGAAAGTTGCTATATAAATAAAGTTTATATTTATTATTATATGACACAAATGGCGCCTTTGCATGTCTGCAAACCCCTCATACATAATCAGAAGTTTGAGGTTTGTATTAAAATGACATCAGAAAGGTTCCAAGAAACCCCAAGAAATTTAGCAGTTATCAACAATAACACCTTATAAAAGCATCTTATAAGGGCTAAGACTGTTTTAAAATGGGTAATTCTGTATAATTAACACCAGAAACCAGAGATATATTAAATAAAATACACTTGATGCTTTAGCTCTCAAGTTGTCCCACTGCCAGATTGGAGAAAAGAAAGACACACTCACATGGAATTTTGTTCAGCTCATTCATGAACTTGTCCTTCAGCTTGGAGAAGGCTTCATCCTTCTCGCCTGTGCCCGGGCCGGCCATGTTGGTGGTGTTGGAGCCAGCCGTGGAGGAGGAGGCGGTGGTGGGCGCGGGGGCGGCCGCCGCCAGTGCTTCCCTTCGACTTTCATTCATTGTGGCGATGCTGGGCAGCCAGGCAGATGCTGGAAACGAGGAGAAAAGGAAAGAGGAAGCAGAATCAGTTAGATTTTTTTTTCTTTTGCTGCTGTGACAGATGCATGTCAGAGGCAGCGTGCACGCCTTGTCAGATGACTGAGTTGACGCAGATCGTGTGAGCAGCTGCTGGCTCAGCCTGAGTAAACATCAGCTGGGGTCCAGGATGAATTGGCCAGCAGTCTGAATTCAGAACAAAGCCACTCAGTCACTGCTTAAACCCCAGATTAACATCTCAGAGCGAAGATAAAATTATTATTTATTACTCTCACGCGGTAAAGACTGTGAATCTCAGCTCTGCTGGCTCCATCAGAAACTGTGCTTTCACAGGAAAACTGAAAATGTGCTACGACTTCAATCTTACACCAAGCTCTTTGTACACAACAGGTGTATTTACTTTACACACAGGTGTTTTGTGAACAGACAGAAGGCAGCGCTGTGTCTCTAAGGTTAACTGCAGCTTTGTGTGTGTGTGCAAATCCATGTACTTGCACATGTACTGTGTAACTTCTGAACATGTTAATCATCACCTCACTCACCGCCAAAGAACAACAGCTGGCACATGTATTAATAAGACACTAAAAACTCTACGATATTATAAATACCACAATTATAACATCGAAGTGCTGAGCCTGCCACTCTTTTTGCTCGTCTAAATAACATTTAAAATGAGAGTTGTAAAAATTCAACTGCACATAATTTACAAAGACACACAACAACAATAAAACAAACATGCCTTCTATTAGAGTGAATTGTTAAATGTTGTCATTTCTATGCTTGCCAACTCTGATGAAAAAAATTCCACTGTCCTTCCCCCCAGATCCTCGAGGTTCTGGTGGGGGGCTGTAATGTTTTATTGCAGATACATCCTATCTGGAAGATCTGCTTCTTTTGATGTAAGCTTCCTGCGTTTACGACCCTTTGGTCAGCAAGAGGTCTGAGTCAGACACACACACACACACACACACACACACACACACACACACATTCTTACAGAAGTTCACACATATACATACAATGCTTTGTCTTAGAACCGAGGGGGCGTGGCTTTGTTCTGACGTGTTTTGTGTGAACTGTCTCTCAATAAAAGGTAGCAGGAGGAGGTCAGATCTGGGGGTCATTTCCGTGGTGGACACAGACGAGGCCTCCCTTGTGCAAATAATCGATCGATCGACTGTCTTGTTTTCTTCGTGACGAATAAGTTAAATTAGCGGGGCTTGTGGAAACACAGACCCAACACCTTCCTCATCATATTCTTTATGATGGTTTAGGTTTCAATCTTACTGCAAAGGATTTCACGTTCATGTTCATTACCAGTGCTGTCAAAAGCCGGGACACTGTAACCACCAAGCACTAAAGCAGAGACTTGAATTCTAGATTTCTTTTTTTTAGCCTTAATAAAAATGTTTTAACTAAGCATGCACTGATGTATCAGCTTGAATGGGAACAGCTCAGTTTTATCTATATAGCCCCATATCAAAGCAATAGTTACATCAAAGTACTTTATGTTGTAAGGTAAAAACCCCAACAATCAGACAACTCCCATTGATCAAGCACTTGGCGACAGTGGGAAGACAAAACTCCCTTTTAATAGAAAGAAACTTCCCGCCAAACTTCATCTTGGGGGTGAGGGGATGGGGGCAGAACAACGGACTGAGCGAGTGCAGTAGAAACATTCATTATGGGAAGTCAAGGCTGACTGCAGCACAACTAAGGGATGGCTCATGGCCACCTGATCCAAAGTCAGCTGTATGCTTTGTCAAACTTTGTTTTACTTGGGAATAATGGCTCTTCACCATACTGGTGTCATTTAGGATGAATAATAAAATGTGTAAGAAAAGTAATGAAATGTGTCTTGTTTGTTTAACATGGCTTTTTTGTCCACTTTATTTGAGTTGTACCACTAATCTGCTGAACATCTTTCTCAGACAACATCAGACTTATATATTGGTATATTTGACAAAACTGAATGGGCAGAGTTTGTGCAAAGCTGATTTAACACTACAAAAAGTAATGTTCAAAGTTGCTGTGATAAACAAATGAAATATTTCAAAAGTGTTCCTTTTGATAATCAGGATTACTGAATTTTCTGAAACAAAGGGAAAAGAAACCCGAATCAAGCAAAATAGATAAACAGAAAAAAGTGGTATCTGCCAATTAACAACCAAGAATTTCACAATTACTGGATCCCTGAATAAAAAACTGGTTTGATAGGCATAATCTCAAACAGGAATGTTCGTTTTACTACATAAGTGATTGTTAGTATGTGTGCACATCTTTGTTTTTCTGGTGATGTGTTGTATCCTGATGGGAACTATTTATTGTCTGCTCCCACAGTGCAGGTTGTAATTTGGCACTGTCGCCAAAGCACTCCATGAGGATAATGGCATACTAAAGAAAACCACTCCACAGAAAAGACTGATGGCCGTATTTTCGTTCTTTGCCACAGTCACTGCTTATTATGCTCACATTTTCCATTTACAGTGCTGTTTCATATGAGGGCACTGCACTGGTTCTGACAGACAGGCTGTTAAAGGTTTCGATGTAACTGAAAAAATTTCAGTGTAAGCATTCAGTATTGCCTTTAATGATATTCATCTCTTAAACTGAAAGAGCTGAAAACAGAACTTGGTGCCAATTCACCCTAATGCAATCTTTACAACCACGACAGAAAGAAAGCTTTAGCAAAGTGATTTCCAAGTTATTATTTTTACAAATGTATAAAATTTGGTTTATAAAGGCAGGTAGGACGTTTGCACTTCAATTAAATTACGGATGCAAAGTGTCTTCTAAGTATTTGTCATTTTCTGAGGGAGTAACTAAATGTTGCCACTTCAAGCTTCATTTGGGTGTGAGTAAGAAGAAAGGAACCTGTTTCATTACTTTGGGATTATTTAAGCAGTTGATCTGCTTCGCTATCACATCCTGATAAGAGAAACCTATTATCTACTGATTCTCTTCTTTTTCTTAACTCTGAGTGTAGTTGGAAGGGCAGGATTGATTATTTCCAACTCTGTGTTTTTGGAGTTGTCACAAGTCTGGCTTCACTGTTTTAAAATCTACTTTCCTACTGCTACTATTGAGACTGACAGTAGTGACAACCACCTTTTTTTTTGGTAATAAAGTACAGTCATCTAAACAAAATCATCCAGCCATCAAATACACCAAGTATCATTCTTGTGGAATAAATAACTTGCAGTTAAGATGCAATCTGTTGCCTGACAACTGGAACCAAGAGGCAATGAGGCTTTAAATGTGGGTGAATATTTTATCTCAGTTTGCAAACAGTGGAGCTCTCATTTCTGTCCAAAAGCTATCAAATGTACTTTTCTTTTCTTTTCTTTTAATAAAATTCTCAGTGCCGTTAGACAAGTTTTTTAACTGAAGCTGAGTCTTCATTTTGAGTGTCTCACTCTGTTCAACTGCAAGTTGAATCAAATATCTTATCGGTCAATTGTGTGGGAGAAACCCAAAGCATTTAACTTTGGGGTCCTGCAGACATCCAAACCAAGCAAGACAAGCTTTTCACACACACAATCATCCCAGGGGGTTGCAGAGAATGGCCCTAAAGAAAAAAGGGAAAAAAGAAAACATCTAGTGGGTGGCAGAAACACCATGTTCGTGGCAGAGGTCAGTAAAGAACGACCAGGCTAGTTTGAGCTGATTGAAAGGAAACGGTAGCTCACATAACCACTTGCTACAAGCATGGACCACAGGAAAAGCAACTCTGAACACACAACACAGATGAAACAGATGGCCTACCGCAGTAAGACGACACTGGGTGTCTGTCCAGTCACCTAAAAATAGGAAACTGGGGCTACAGTATGCACAGGCTCACCAAAATTAGATGTCAGGAGACGTGAAATATCCAAGCTGTTGTCTTAAATTTTGCTTTCTGCCAGAACAGGGTAAAAGGAAAGCGCAGGTTCTGATTAACATCAAAAAATTCACAAATTGATCGAGCCAGCAATCAAAGCTGCTTTAAATCCATTTGTACCAGCTGCCACAGCCCAACACTATGTCTTTCTCCTTTTGATCGTTGTGCACCATTGTCTAGCAATGGCAACTCATGTCAGAAAGCTCAGATTAGTTTCTTAAACATAACATAGTTATTAGTTCATAATGCTCAAGTTGCCTCCGCAGTCACTAGATCACAATCCTTTGGGATGTTGTAGAAAAGGTTTGCAACAGGAAGACGTTTCCCACAAATCCACAGCAACCGTCAAATGCTATCATCAAATACAGAAGCAAAAGCTTGCTGAACCTAAGCCGCAAAGAAGCAAGGCAGTTCGGCGTGAGGTGTAACTAATAAAGTGAGTGTTGACTCGAAATACATTTAACCTGTCTGATGTTTCAAGAGGATAAAGACTATGTTTAAGCACTTCTATGATACATTCACATTAAACCGAATACGAAATGGCACAGACTGCGTGAAGGAGTGAACTGGAAACTGCTATTTACAGGCAGAGACAGAAGTGGTATATATATGCATGTGTATATATATATATATATATATATATATATATGGATTTTATGAGAGTGGAATGCAATTTGTTTTTCTTTATTAGAAGATGTATATATCTAATACAAACCAGTCAGTTGGCAGAAATCTGACTGAAAGCAGCCAACAAGTCAACAATGACCCGAACAATGACCTCTCATTAAACCAGCATACTGCTTTCAAACGGGGTTACACAGTAGGTGTGAGAGAATAAAAAATCAGAAGGCTACGCTCCTATTTCTGACAAGAACAAAAACACATCATCAAAAATAAGAAACTGTATAAGGAATTAGTCAGAGTAAATGACTACTCACTAGCAGCTAACACACACTGCCAGACGGTCCAAATAGCACTGTTCCCCAGCTTCTGAACTCCAGTGCTGATGAGTGATTGGAGTTGGCTCCTAAGGAGAAAAGGAGGGTAGCACCTGAGTCAGGGAGAGAGAGCAGTAAGGCAGAGCCTTACACAGTATGCCTGCAAGGGCCCTAA